GCAGCTGCTCCGTCTGGCCGTGGACCTGTGCGGAGCGGCGCTCGCGCCCCACCTGGACGACGCGGTGCGCGCGCTGCGGGGCGTGCTGCTCGACCCTTTCGCCGCGGTGCGCCGCGAAAGTTGCGAGTGCGCAGCCGCTCTGGCGCGAGCCACTCCTGGTAAGCGTCGGATCCCCTTGCGTGGGTACCCAGACGATGGTTTCGTATGCGAGAGGGCACGAGACAAGATCTCACCATGAAGCCCGGGCTGGCACCAAACTTACTCTGCTTCAACCTTCTGAGTGCTAGACTCTCAGACCTGTGCTACCAACCCATTTCATGCTCATTTTTATGCAGAGGTTGTTATAGGATCCACGTGGAGAAGAACCACTCAATTTTGTGCACTCGTGTTTCCCTACACCCCAGTGCCTCTTGTGTCTCTGACTTGGATCACTAGCTTCCTAGGTGGAAGGAGACTGTTTTTCTCCACTTCCCTTTTAGTTTATTCCCACCATTTCTAACAGCTCTGCTTGATCAGCCTTCTCTTTTTTCCTTGTAAGCTAGGATTTTGGGAAAAAAAAAAAAAAGAGGCCCTGCTTAGTGCTGATAGTTAAACTGAAAGTCTGGACGGGAGGGAGCCAGCTTTGTGAAATATGTGTACATGTCCACCTCGATACCTGGAGCATAGGCAGCGCCAGGACCACTGGAGGAGTTGAGGCTAGCAGGGACTGATTTACAAGAGTCCAGAGGAAGGTGGCAGGTGTGGTGGTGGCCACAGAACTGTATCTGATAACCAGCAGCCTCCCTGTCCCACAGAGCACTTCCACATGCAGTCGGAGTCCCTGATAAGCCCCCTGATGCAGACCATCTCCCACCAGCACTGGAAGGTCAGAGTGGCCGTCATCGAAGCCACCGGCACTGTGATCCAGTTTGGCAATGGCAATTCGGTGGATGATGTTCTTTCCCACTTTGCTCAAAGACTCTTTGATAACGTCCCTCAGGTAATGGGATTTGTCTTGAAACCGAGTTGTTTCTGTTAGTGGAAGTGTCTGCATGTGCTCATCCACTGGAAGAATTTCAGTGCAGAGCCAAGGTGGTTGGAGCCTTGCAGAGAAGGGCAGGGTGGAGGTTGAGTGGTGGGGTAATCTGTGCTGCCTGGTTTGGAAGCAGGAGCTCCTGGCAGACAGGAGCCTACAGATAAAGGGGGTGCACTGGCTTTAAGAAGGCAAAATCCAGCCCAGTGATGGCGCTGGCCTTTAATCCCAGCACTTGGGAGGAAGACGCGGGCATGTCTTTGTGAGTTCGAGGTCAGCTGGTCTACAGAGTAAATTCCGGGACAGCCAGGACTGTTGTGTAAAGAAATCTTGTCTAGAAACACCCCCGGCCCTCAAAAAGAAGGCACCAAAATCCAGCTCACAGGCATGTCTCATATCTAAAGCTGTTGTGGCTTATGGTAATATTGCCTATAGAGAGAGGACTGGTGGCAACCAGGCTCTGTTCCAAAGGGAGAAAAAAGGAGAAGGGGGAGCACATGATT